ACCGTGGTAAAATATTAAAGCGAGTCGAGCATATATCGCACCCACACCTTCGCAACACCTTTTCGATTCCAATTAATCACAACCAAACATCGTGCGAGACGAAATTTTTACAAATTTTAAATTGCTGCAACGGTAGCGCTGCAATTGTTATACTTGGGGCCAGCCTACACTGTCACAATGCTTCATTCATCATTAATCATTCACTTTTATACTTCCAGCCTTATTGTTTTCCAGCGTTTAACAACATGTTGTTAATACTCACGCTTAATACCAGCTACCACACACTCGCCGTAAATTTGGGCATCGTACGCGTTGATCGTTTACGGATACATCTTGTATCTGTTGGGTGTTGGTGTTAAGAGCAAGAGTAAAAGGACTACTTGTGTTGTACCAACGGACGATGATTGATTATCTGCGTTTTCGATTTCATTAATTTCCATTATGTTTTCGTCGCCGTCAAGTTTTAACTGCAGAATTCTGTCTGTGGTGTGTCTGATCGAATCATGGTCATCATTAATAGCAAGGAATATGATGGTACATTCAATCAACTCCATGAATCATCACACGATGGATAACTACAATAATAAATTCTGTTTTATTCAGTTTTTAAATATTTGCACAAAATTTTTTGGAACCTTGAAACTTACCTATCTATTGCATTGTAAACTAAAAACTGATGAAAGACGTTTTCTCTAACACTGACACAGGAATATTTCGAGTTGAATATATACAACATCATTAATCATTAGACAATTGGAACTCGGGTATCAGGAGAAGAACAATCGCAAGGCCGGTACAAACGCACAAATGATTTTTGCTTAATTACATCTCTTTTGTTGCGTTTGTGGGCATCATCTGCGCAAGGGGATGGGAATTCACACCTTCCCGCAGATAAGCGCTAATTAATAATTCGGATAATTAATATACCTCATGATTGATGATGCATTTGTTTATCAATTCGTCTCTGGGAATACAATGAAGAAATCAATTGTGCACCGCGCACAAATTTCATGCTACATATAATTTATAAAAAACTTTTGCGTCATTGTTTATTTAAAATAAATCGCCATCAATCAACAAATGGAAACTATATCGCGCGTGCGTTGGTGTAAAACTAAATTTGATTTTTCGGTTGGCGAATGCTTTTCGGAAAAGTTTCGCGGACATTCGAGAGGGTGAACATAATGAATAATGTAACAGTGCGGGCGTTCGTGTAACCGCATGGCGAACCAAAAGAAACACAACGCTTTTTTCTTTGATTCCGCAGCATGAGCGTCTTGAGCCACCGCCGCAAAAACAAAGGCCGCCGCCGAGATGATTGAGAGATCGGACGGTGCGACCGGAATAATAAAAAGCGTCCACGTCGCCACAATCCAGGCTTTCTTCACGATCGAAACGCGTGAAAAGTCGAAATATCAAAAATCGTTCTATATGTGTGAATGAACGAATATCACCAGCAAATCACAGAATGAATATCGTCAATATCATAACAAAATAATATTTTAGTTGCAAACAAAGTTGTAGTTAGTAATGTGATATTATATGCGTTATAAATTACGTACCTCTAGATTGCAGGTTTTATTTATTTATTATTCACGCACGAAACACACTTGTGATGAACGACGTTATTGAGTGCAAGAACATTAAATTTCAACTAACTTAGATTCAAACTTTACAACAGCATAAATATCGAAAAGAGAGGTGTTTTATCTTGTCGCCAATATCAAACTGGTTTCGTGCGTATACTGATAACAAAATAAGATAGTGTTGTTGTTATTTTGAACGGTTCGAAGTATATTCTAGAAGATCTTCACGCGACGGAATGCAAAACATAAAATATTGGTTTGTGAATGTAAACAAATAAAATAATTCATTTTACACCTTGAATTATTTATAGTGCTATGTGATTTTATAATAAATGTTAGTCTAGATTTATTGTAATACAATTATTTGTTGTTGCAGTCAAAATATCTTCCGTCGGACGGTTTATTGGTTAAAATAAATTGTTTGCGTTATAAATAAGTATAAATATTATGTTTCTATATTTTTTAAAATTGTGTAGTGCGCATTTTATTAAATTTTAAGTAATATTTTGTTATTACTATTGATTATTGAGTTTATATATAAATAGGTAGGTATTTTACATCAAAAATGCTACAAATGTTTTATTTATAATCTAAAACACAGTTTGTAGCATATTTAACATTTTTAACTCATATGCAGGTAAATCTACGCTCGATTTTTATAAATATGTGTTTGTTTGCTAATATAAAATAGATGTTAACACTATGAAGGTAAAGGTAACAATAAATTAGTTCGCCTTGATGCCGCTGAAAAGTAGAGAGTCGCTACTAAGCAGGACCGTGGTTCCAAAGCAAGTTGTAGTATGAGTAGGAGGCACACGGGGCGGCAGGGGGGCCTGCGGCCTCGTCCTATGCGAGCGCGTCGCGCGTGCACACGTACGCTCAGTCACTAATCATACCCGGCCGGCGCCGCACTCGGCCAATCGGCGGCGCCGCGCGCGGGCTCAGAGGCGGCGATGGGCCCCTTGACGGATCTAGGGGCCGCGCACCATTGACAGCTCCACGACACTTACAAATCGTTCTAGGTGGAGCGCCGCGCCGAGGATCGGCCCAAATCTCAATGGCACCCGAAAACCCACTCCGTCGCGCCAAATTCAAAAAACCTCGGTTGCCCAACGCAATATTCACTAAAATAAAAATATATAAATAAAAAACGTAAAATTTCAACTAAAAATACAACACTTGTCTATTATTGATGCATGAATTCAATGCAAATATTATCTGTGGTGGTCTGTTGTTGTTCTTTGATGTGTTTACCCATTATGGTTAATGCAGTTTGATATTAGTGTCCATTAGAAGCGATTGTGTGTGCAGTGGTCAAGCCTTTTTGATGGAAGAGATATTACTAATCAATATTGCCATACTAATGTATCAAGCGTACATTGAATCCAAATAATCAAATATTTATCTGTAATTGCAAAGACATTTAAATATCCATCAGCAAACTTTCAACTAAAAAAAAAAAAACAGTCAGATCATAATTAAGGCCATTAGATACCGGCGATCAAATTGTTTTGTTCCAACCTGCCATATATCTTATCAAAATCATCAAAAATTGCCTACAAACTTTATCAAATGCATCTTGATGTTGGTGTATAACTTTGAGTCGCAGCACCCAGACTCGATTCACACGACGGTTCGGAGAGTTATGTTATTGATTTATGTGCTGGCGGCGGTGGCGGCGGCGGCGTTTTCCATAAAGCTGTTTGCGGTCCCCGAAACCCTCTCGCTCCGACCCGTCCTCGTGCACATAGTGTTTCAGCACGAGTGGCAGTATTCTTCCTTGCTGCTTCGCCACCGGAAGAGCGGAAAACGCTCCTCGCCTAAAATATATGGCCAAATAAGTGTTTAGCATGAAGATCTTTCCAAGATCACTTTTCACTTTGGCGCGCGCATTTTCGTTTTATCGACTTTTCGACAGCTTGCTTCTCACGTAATAAATTTGAAAATTGCACCTTCCACCAGCCATCCACTAACATAATTTATTAATGTGTAAAATTATGCATGACATGGTTGTATGAGTATTTAATTATCATCCAATATCTTCGCTCCTATATGGTTGACCTGATGTCCTGATGATCATCAGCATTATTGTTGGTGGGTATATAGCACACACCTCGTGGCAAGTTGTTGCACTTTGGGTTTATCTTCGGCGTGGTTTCCAGAGCGTGTGCATTATGACCGGCACGCGTTTTGCACGTTCGCGCGCCGCTGTTGCCCGGACTCGCCCTCTAGCCCGGAATGATTTACTGGGAGATTACGTTAAGAGACCACTTGTTATTGCCCATAACTTCTGATTTCCGAACCGATACACGCTCCTCCAAACCTACAACAACATTAACAGCGCTACATCAACAAAACGAACGGTAATAAAGCATTTGCGCATTCAACGCTTTACCAGAACCATAATAAATCTGATCATTTCTAGTCTCTTATGTTACCTTTATATGTTTAGATATACTCATACTCATTATGTTTATGTAGATTAGGACATTCCTTCCGGGGTGTTGTTTGTTGTGTGGTAGTTGTAGTAGGTAGGTATGCTGATTATGCTGGTTCATTCAGGATGGCAGGTTGGCAGGTATTGTTGACATTTGGTTTCAACGGCTTTGGCATTGGAGCTGATTGCATTTCCGGCATTGTTGTTCATGCACTCTACATTCCCACACAATGCTACTCAATTCCTGGACATGGGAAACTCCTCCTCCACCCCTAAATATTATACCTATCAATGTACCTATGTGGTTATAGGAATCTACTATTATAACAATTGATAGTTGGATATAATATTGCTTGGTAAAAGAAGAACAAGCAGATTCCAGTGTGTCACCCAGAATAGTTCGACTGAGTGAGTAGTGATGCTAATGCGTTGGAGAGCTGTGCAAGGGATTCGCACCCTCGTTTTCTGTATTCCTCGGCTTCCTCGCCGGGAATCATGCACATTGACATTGCGAGGCGCGTCGCACACACGCCGTGCTGCATTGAATACTAGAGTGGCTCGTCTAAAATAGCACCCGAATAGAATGGCAACCCAGGCATTGGAGGATTGGAGATTTGCTCGTTGCGAGTGTGCACACTGTGCAAAACCAAGTGTGGCTTTCAATGTATTTCTATGTGTGTGTGTGTCTAGGCCGCCCGGTGAGTTCCCTGCTCGCCCCCGATGCTCATAAAAGCCATAATAGAAACGTCTCAATTCCAATCGTATAAATTTCTCATTTGCCTACATCAACTCCCCACCAGAGTGTTACCACCATTGTCTATGACCCAACGCTTCTGCGTATATCATGCAAACAGCTTTGCAAAGCTTCGGAAGAAGAAATGTTTTCAGATTGTTTGACTTTTCACTTCTACAATTTCTGAAATTTACAATTCTATTAAACCTACATTCTGATAACAATCAAATCAAAGCACAAATCGTTATTTTTAAATATTTATATATTTTTATTACTCTTAATTCTTCAAATATATTACAATACTTTTTGTTTTATTCGGATTTTCATTGCGTCATCAATCAATATTGAAACAAATCTTGGATTTCCCATTCGGTTTTTCTTAAAAATCTTTTACAATATGTACTCCTACCATTAGAATTTTGATTTTCCATCGCGCATCTGAATGTTGTGGTTGTTTTGCAATTTTTATGATCATGTTTTATGAATTACGTATGTAAGTATGTACTTTTTCTCTCGCATTGTGTGTTTACGATACGAATACGTTTCGTTTAATCATAATAATATATATAATATATACTAAAAATATTAATTATTACACCACAGCACAAATAACTATATGCTATTATCCTTTTTGTTTTTTCGTTAATTAATTAATTCTCATAATCAATATATCCATATAGGTACAAATATACAGCATGCTCTTTTCAATCTCGTTTCACCGGGTTTGGTTGCCCCTGTCTTTTATTTTTATTTTTAGTGTATAGTGTGCAAAACCAACAGTTTTGTATTACTCAAACGAATCTGTTACGTTTAGTCGTTTATTCGGATTTGTTACATTAATAGTTTATTTCTTAGTAAAAATCTTACAACTTTTTTGAACAACATTTAATTTTGCAATATTTATCTTATTTGGGACTGTCTTTCGTGTTCGTCGTTCCTCATCATCTCTTAAATGTAGTTTATAAGTTAATTATATACAAGTTTTACGTATATCAGTTGCTTTCAAACCTGTTTATAAATATTGTACGAAAATTAATCTTTGACTAAAATTACATTCATTTGTCTCAAGTCAAACATTAAGTTTCCATGTGGAAAACAAAATTAAATGGTCTTTGGTTGACGGTGTACTGATTCTGATTCTACCAATATATAAGATTATTTTATCATTGTGTCTAAGAAGTGAAATAATAATGAAATAATCTTATATTAACAAGTTTTCTGAATAAATACGTCCAATCGCTGCGCTGCTAATTTAGTGTTTTCATTTAAATATTATTATATCATACTTCTTCATATGAATTAATTAATATCATCATATTATTGGTAATATGTACAAAAATGACTTGTTTCGTACGTGTCTGAGTACGTTCAACGAGTATACAATGTATTTTTACGTATCTGAGTTTTATTTAAGTCCAAAAATTACGTATTTCGTTTCGTTTCAAAAGTAATCGGTATTCTGCAGCAGAAAAACAAAAAATACATGCAATTAAAAGAATCCTACAAATTGAGAATTAGAAGAATAAGATAATATTATACGTATTTCTAGCTTTGGCATAAAAGTGCTTTTTATTGAGTTTTTCTTTAATTTTTTTAGAGAAAGAAGTTTTATTTTTATTTATAATCAATTTCGTATATTTCATATCCTGCTCAAAATTTTCTCATAGCTGCACATTAGACGTGTAAGCTGCGAAGTGTTAATCAATGAAACGTTTGGAAAAAAATTTTCCTTGCCCAACACGGCTGCACATCAATATCACCACGTTCGTTTTTTAAATTAAATAATTTTTTGTAATTATGTACACACCGAAAATCGCACAGACGATATTGAAGTGTAATCCGCTGTGCAAGCAATGTTTATCTAGGAAGAAGTACGCTCTATCAATCAAATATAAATATTTTTACAGTTAAAAATCATCAATTCTCCAGCATCCATCTGAATGCACACCATTAGTATTATGTTTAAATGTACAGATTTGCTATATCCTTATTTAAGTGTAACATGTTCGTACGTTCTTTATAAATTTATTAATAATTTAATTTAAGAAGGACTTTTCGGCTCTCATTTAATGACAGATTATGAAAGTCCAAGTTTTCTTTTGTGTGTGTGATGTGTTAGGAACGAAAATTTCTGCGATGCATAAATGTTGTCAAAAAAATGTCAAAAACAAATATGTAAGTAATAAACTATTCACGTATGCGCATGTCTTGTATTTATTAATTAATAAATTAATTACGTATTTGGTTTCCTCATCCCTGGACGCGCCAAAGGACGATTTATTGTTTGCTGTGTTTTTTGTTTCATTTTTTTGGAAAGTCTATCACTGACCTTGACTCGACTCCATCTTATTCATCATCCTCCACACATGTGCTCCAGCAGTTTTCTTCAGCTATATAGTACATGACGAAAGAGAAAATTATTTGTGTTTAAATTTCAGTTTTTTGCTTTAGATTAGAATAATTGCACGTCGCACTGGCCTCAATCGCAATGGTCCATTCCGCGCGATAACACTGCGTTACCTCCAACGTGTTTATTTTAGTGGTGGGCTCGTAATACGTACGTAATTATTACATCTTGAGATAAATAAATAAACTATAATTAATTAAATTTGTTTTTTAAAATTATTATAAACTCTTCGCTCGCGCCGCGCCGGCGTCGAATTAAAGTTTGTTTAAACAGTTTTAAAAGTCTCGAGGTCCGTGTGGTTTTGACTGTGTTTTTGCAATCCTTTCCGTCCTCCAAGGCGCGCTCCAGAATTCGTGACGATCGATGCAATTCCTAGATTCTCTTTGCTCCTCCGGCTCAAAGAATAGTAAACCTATGTATAAACTTGAAAAAATGCACTATGTTCATCTCAACGATGAATATGACTTGACTCGTGATCGCTGGCTTCTTCTTGAAAAAAAACCTCCATGAAAGTCCTTGATCATACTGCTAGTAGTTTTGGTTTGGCGGTCTTATTGCGGCGATCCCTGCGGACTCAGGTCGTCACCGTTGCCCTCGGAGCCGCCCTCGCCCTTGGTCTTGTTCTCCTTCTTCCACTTCATCCGTCGGTTCTGGAACCAGATCTTGATCTGCCGTTCGGTGAGGCACAACGCGTGTGCGATCTCGATGCGCCGCCGCCGCGTCAGGTACCGATTGAAGTGGAACTCCTTCTCTAGCTCCAGCGTCTGGTAGCGGGTGTACGTCTGCCTTCCCCTTTTTCTCTCTGCAACAATTGGAATATTCGCAATCAAAATCTGAGTTCTACTCGAGACAATCCTATTACTACGTATCGATTTGGCCACGTGGTATATTGTGTGCGGCAGCAGCGTGTTCTGGATGCGGCTGACACATGCGAAATGATTTATGCATCATTTATAAACTCATTATCTCGATGCAACGGCCGCGGAGAGACCGCCTAGAGCCACGCACGCTTGATTGGCGTCACAAGGACGCGTGAGTTCAAGCTGACTCTCTCATCCCGACCCCGGACCACATGTACCAATTCGCTTTTTCTTCATCATACCAGACTTTTTTCCTACCTCGTAGGTATGTAATTATCGGTGGGCAATATTCGACCAAACAAGCAGAACGAAAAAGAATCGAAGCGGATTGCAGAAAAGCTCCGGGCTGCATAATTCGAGCAATTTTCATCGAATCAACGAAACTCCGAACTCAACTAGCGACTAATGACGAAATAATTGATAAACAGGCCATGTGATTCTTCCGCGCCCAGTCTGGGTGCAATCAGAGAATAAATTTCAATCTTATTAATAGCCTAATGCAATATTCATCGATTTTAGTTCGGCGGGCGCGTTTCGCGACGTTCTGAAGTTGAAATATCGCCGGGGTTTTTTGAATGATGTGAATAGAAGCACATTGCATTGAGAGAAAGTGCCAAGGCGCTCGGGACGCGTCGCTGGGACGCCGCCACCCAACCCAACACCCAGCGCGCGCGGGCTCATCGAAATGGAACCGAGACGTGGAGAAGAAGAAAGCAGACGCCGGAGCAAAACGAAAGCGGAAAAAATTGTGACGAGGGGGTGTGCGGGCCCGACTTTAGACGTCAGCGTTGACGAAGATGAATGCCGCCCCGTTTCTTTTCGTTTGTCGGAGCGCGGGCGAGAGCCGATACTGTGGGAGACGGCAACTGCGCGCCGCGCACAACAACACAACATGCAGTTTATAAAACTCGATGCCGTATCGCCTGGATCCCGAAGCAACCTAACACACAAAAAGCAAAAAATAATGTAGGGCGCAACGGAACGAAAAACCCATGGAAGCAGACGAAACAGACACTCGTGACGCTGCTTTCTCTTTATTTTCTTTTCAAAGATGTGCTTCAAACGCTTGAAACCGCCCAAAAATTTCAACCGGCGACGAAATTCCGCATCCCAGAATAGAATAATGAACCGCAACGAAATTGAAAGGAAGGTGCAATTTTAAAATTTCGTATGCATCACGTCTACCACACTGGAGGTCATTTAATTAAAAAGATATCAAAGATGCAGGTTGTGATTTCATACGGCTCACATATCAGAATGTCGCTCTTGCATGTTGATGCCTCATCAGGCTTCGAGCAGGTTGCGCGCATCCAGCTCGGGCTCTTGATGAACGCGCACACAACCCCGAACGAGACGTGTAATTATTTTACTCGTCGTTCGTGTTTTCGGCGCGCGCTGCTCCGAATGCGCCAACCGGGTTTGATTTATACCGACACGGACGCGCGGCCCTGATTAGTTTCGATGCTTCTTTAATTAACGTTCCAAACTTTTTTCGAGGCCGGCATTTTTTCAGCGCCTCGCAGAGTAAATAAAATTTAAAAATATTTATTATTTAAAACAAAATATAGAAAAATACGTTAAGTGTTTTGTAGGTAAGTGGAAGAAAGTTTTTGCTTGGAAGATGTCCGTTCAGTTCGTTCAAAGTCTAATTATCAGCGTCGAATGTCGGAGCGCAGAATGATTGATGATGGTCCGCGCTCTCTGATTTGGCCACGCAGCGAAACGTAGGAGGGACAGCGCCTAGCAACCCTGCATTCTAATATTGTTGTCAGACCCATGTCAAAAACGAAAGAGGAAACGAATTAAGGCGCCCATGCTGCACCAGACTCTCCCGGGCAATCATGGCTGGTTTTCTCAGGAGCGGAGCTTCAAAGTGAAAACTTGAGTCCAAGTTTGGAATCAAAGTGAAAGAAAACAAAATTCCTCATAAAACTCATCTCCTAGACGCGTATAAATTACCCTGAAATTAATCTTAATCTTAAAATTTGTGTGAAATCAAAAATTCCGAATTCAATTTGGTGGTTTTTGAGCAACCTAATAATAATTACGGCATGAAAAGGGTTAAATAATTTACAGCACTATCAAATCTCATCGCGTCACAATTTATCACCGCGCGAATGCTTATTTAATGGGGGGGCCCTCCTCGGCGATGACGACGCCGCCGACTAGCGCGGGATTTGCGCACAACGCGCTCGTTCGCATAGGACGGCGGCAGCGGGTGCGCGCGAGAAGCCAACACACGAGCGCCGCGCCGCCGAAACATAAATTGCACTCAACAAGTAGCCTATATACCGGTCGGCGTGGCGCGCGCCGCCGCCGCCGCGGTTATATTGTTATTACCCTGCTTATGGTTGCCAACAGATGTAAATTCTATCTTTATTATATTAATCGCTTTATTGCGCCCGTGCACTTGAACCACATGCTTGTGTTCCACACTTAAACGTGATGCAAAAACCGAGGCTCACAAAGCGCTGCTACTTGTAGAATTATTTATTATTCCATTAGGCTGTTGTAATTAAACACATTATTTTTACCTCTAAAGGTAGAGCTTCCAAAGAGCTACCAAAAATCAAATCTGCTACACAATTTACTACATGGCCAGAAAATCGCTTGTTGTCGGATTTGAGACTTACCAAATTGACTCCTCATCCACGGGTATAGCGGACTGGGTAACGACGCAGACGTGTTGGTAGGAGGTTGTTGATTGGGCGGTTGTTGCTGTAGCGGCGGTTGCTGATGCTGTTGATGCATAGCGCCCTGCTGGCCGTACATCATGTGTTGTTGCTGTTGCTGCTGGTGATGGTTCTGTTGGTGGTGCTGCTGTGGATGTTGCTCCTGCATATGGTGACCCATATGATGATTGTTCATGCCCTGCGTGGTATCCAGCGGTGGGCTACCTGTAGGTCCTAATACCCCACCTTGCGTCACCGCCGCCGCCTGCAGTTTGCAACTAGCATATACCACGGGGGTTTGATGGCCGTTAGGTTGTCCGCCGCCCATGTGAGCCATACTAGTAGGGCTATCAGGTCGGTAACCCTGTTGGCCCATCTGCTGCTGTTGCGCTTCATAGTAACCTGCATTGCGGATATCCATGCGGTCATAAGGCGGAAAACGAGGGTAGGGCATACCTTGAGGTGGCTGACCTCCTGTTGGTGGACCACCATAGTGATGCGGAGGGATACCCTGCCGCAGACCCACTACACTCGGGTCTCCACCACAGGAATTCGGATCGGTCTGTACCCCACCTTGAGGCACCTGCACAGCCGCACCGTAATGTTGATGCTGATGCGGGTGCTCCGCGGGTACAACACCGCCATTCCGCATGTCCGGCATGTACGAATTCGCAAAGTACGAACTCATCTCCATCGTGGCGTTGGCTGAATCACACATTCAATACCGGGAAAAAGTCACTTGGTTTTAAGTCGCCTGCTGGCTGGATTTATCACAGTTTGCCACGTGGCAACAACGGCTTAGACGTGTTAGACTAAGCCCGCGCAGTGAACATTATATCTTAAGATCATTTTAGATCACACTGCTATTAAATCACTTCAATTTAGGTTTCGTTTATGCGTTAATTAATTAAGATAATCCTTGGAATGACGAGTATCCAATGTTCCAATAATGAGTCTGCAATGAAGAGAAACAAACGATTTAGAGCACAATTCACACATTATTTCAGGAGAAAATATCAAGTCAACTGGACGATGTCTAAGGTTAAACTGATTTTTCTTTGAGCTTAATGAACAACTATGTGCGGTCCAATGAAAGAAATGAGTGACATGTGTCGTGGTATTTAAAATGCTGTAAACGGAGTTCCGAAGTCGTATGCTGTCGAAGTTGATACGCTTCATCAATATGATGTATATGCATGCCACTTTACACCAATGGTGTTTCGCAAAAGTTCCTAATATGACACACACCCACAAATTTGAAAAAGAAAAAAATCTAGTGGAGTTAATTTTAATAATGGTTTTATTTTTATTTTGCACATAATGTAATCTAGGTAATCTAATGTAATCAAGGAATTCAGACGCTTCCAGATAGTTAAGATCAAAAGGCATTCAAGAAAACCGCGACTCCCATTATTAATTACACGTGTACATCATGCACCGTTGAGTCGGTTTTATTTCTGGCCAGCATTCGTTGTTGTTTTGTGCGAGCTTTGGTCGTCTTCTATGAGTGCGGCCGTTTTTGCTCCCTGGTATTTTTTGCCTTCATATTCCATTTGTCCAAGTCAGCAAACGCATTCGCTGCTCGCTTTGTGTTGATTTTTTCGGCGCGCTCGCTTTTTTGCGCATTGTATACATTCAGTACATTTGTTTCAGGCTTCGGGGGCCTGGTGGGTTCGCTTCAGTTTTCAGTTTTCGTCTCTGCCACTTCGGCTAAATGGAAACAGAAACAGAAACTAATTGCGCACACCCACAAGAGCCGCCCGGGCGCCGAGGACGTTTTGGGAAATTCGCCCCGCCGCCGCTGCGGATGCTGGCGGAAGCGCCGCGGCGCGAGTGCGTCTCGCGTGACACGCGATTTGTCAAGCTGAAAGGTTCCGCACACATGCAATTCGTTAGGTCGACGCGACCAGCCATCGTGACGCCGCCATCGCAAACCGACGCCGACGCCGAGTGACGAGACCGCGACGACGACATCAACCATTTCTGACTGCAACAGTGTGCCTCCTACCACACTCACAAAACATCACAAAATCTATTGAATTGCATTGCAACAATGAGCTTTTAAACTTTTCGGTTATTAATCGTTTGATTATGCAATCCTATAGTGTTGAATAACGATTTTCCCCGTGTGCAAGTCCTGCTCGTTCCAACAGTCATCCGAAAGGGTTATAAATTATTCATTGGTATGCAGGTTTTGTTCCACGTAGCATTTCATTTGTTTGCGAATTTGTTCTCGTCCCGACCGGTATTCAATTGGGAATTTAGAGAGGGATGTTTCATATTCCTATCCTATATCATACCGATCCCTCTCGGTCTCAACACTCTCGACCAAACCAAACAAAACTTTCCGGATCTATACGCGCCTTTCTCGCCTTAAAACCAACACAGCGCTTCGAAAAATCACATTTAGATTCTGTATTCGTGTTCGGCACACAATTGCGTTGTTTGTTCCAGGGGTGTCTCGGCTTTGATTGGATTGGATTCTATCACGGTATCAAACGGTGCGAAAAATTTAATTTTTTCATGCACCCTTCTCAATTTGCATGTCGCTATGTTGGTTTTCCGAGCTATTAACAAAAGAATTCTATGGAGATGCTCCGGGGTTCAGCCCGTGAATTAGAATTGCGCACGGCGCGCTCCAGAGGACAACTTGTAATTGGCTAAATGCTTTAATGAGATTTGCATGTAAATGGGGGCGGCTCCCCCATGACGTGCAACTTTTAATTTAATCAAAGAACTCGACGCTGATCCACGCTACCTCCCGGGTGTTTTCATCGTCCGCCTAAACTTGCTGTTGCATAAGGAAGGAAGGGTTATCTTTATCCACTGAGCATGACATTGATGATATTCAACTAAAAGCATTGATAAGTTTACTTTACGTCTGGATATGAGATATACTGAATATGCGGCCCTATGTAAGGGTGTTGGTTGAGAGAATCGGTTCACTAGTTGAGACTGAGGTGTTGTTAGAACCCGCCTTGGGTGCTTTGAAGACATTAATGTATAAGGTGCGAATGTCGCGGTTTACGACCCTTGCGAAGACCCTCCTTTCATGCCATCAAACCGCGATGCTAATTAATATTCCGCCGTCAGTTAAACCAGGAAATTTCTGGAGCACAATTCGAAATTTTCGAATATTGCAATATCGCAATACAAAACAAAATTCGTGATTACTTGCGTTCATATTTTCAGAGTGACAATATTATTTTCATGGGTGTGGGAAGCCGTAGTGCTATTCTTGTGAAGCTTAGGGTCATAAATCAATAACTTGGTGTTTGCATCGAGCTGCATAATGCTGGAAAAGCTCCCGAAGCTTTCAAAGCTCCGTAGGTAAACAAGTAGCGAACCTATTGGTGTCTGACCAAAGTAACGACTCGATGAATGACGATGACTCTTCAGCTGCCAGCGCTTGGGAAGGTAGAATTCTTCGTTGCGAGCTGCTCGTGAGTAGAAAACTGGTAGTGGAAAGAGGGGAACCCCACTCATGTGGACTCCAAGCAGTAGTTTAAAAGTTATACAATGTCAAACTTATTATGTTGTCCTAGCTACTCACAGAGTGAGCACAAGAATATAGAGTAATTAGAATTTCAGTCTGGAACCCATTCAAGAAGCCCTTCAATGGAATTTATTCAAAAACCTTTTTTTTTTACATTTGATGAATTAATTTGTTTTAAAAATGACATGGACAGAAGTAAAATTTGTTTTCTTCATAGATTACAAAGGTAAAGTATTGAAAAGGTTAGGAACTGTTTTGAAAATCGATGAATAAACAATTTATTCACGCCTATCTGGCAGCGGTAATGGAATGCTGTGGAGGTGGTGTGCGAAGGGTGAAAATAGGGAAAATACCGATGATCCGCAGCGGCGTTCTGCTGGATAGTTCTCGGTTTCGGTTTGTTATTTGCTTGTTTTCGGCGCTCGCGAGGGGGCGGTGGAGTGTCGATAGCGTGCGTTCGGAATTTTAATCGACGTAAAACAATCTGCCGCCTCCACTACGCCGCGCATTGGCATGCTCGCCGGTGTGCCGTCCCCGAATGCCATGCCGGAAGCGAGATAAATTTCAAACTCAACACACAACTATTCCGGCTCGCGCTGAACACGTAGCTTTTTCATTTCCGCTCTTGTCTCACCCATACCGCTGCCATACAATAATACAATGTCATTGGAATTTCATGCAGACTGATTGATTGATTCCCCAACAAGATTATTACATTTCAAAACAATTTAATTACGTTTATTTGTGAGTGACAATTCAATTTTGAAAGAGATAAATGTTTGAAACAATACAATACATATGAAGAGAAAAAAAAGTGTTTGTATCAATTGGCTCGGCGCCATAAATTTCTGAAAGCGTTCACGTCGTCCCCTCTAGTTGCAAAGCGATAAACTATTAAGTACCCATTTCAACACGCTCCAACCAACACAAGAAAGCTGCCTGCCGCAAGCTTGCCGAGCTTTTACGACCGTGCACGCAACGCTCACATCGATGCAGGTCAAGAAATCTCACAAATCACACCTATAGATGGCAGTAAAAGGCCATAAAGCATTCGGCGTCTTGCGGATCACTCACACGTTCAGTAAGGATGTTGGTTGTGTGTTGGGAGGGGCATGAGGAAAGCTCCCGAAATCTCGAAACACCGCCGAGCCGCGCCGAAGTCGAACGTGAAGCCATGCGAGCGCGCCTGGGACGACAGAAATGATTGAGTGCGGGGTGGAGTTACCCTTGCCAAAGAGGGTGAAGTTCGTACAACGTACAATGATGGCCGCTATTAATCAAACATGGCCGACCAAACACAACTCAACCAATCCTAATCTAAGATATTGAAATTTTTAAACCTAACTATTTAATATAATTTTAGTAAATATAAAATATTAAAATAACACCATAGATATAATAAATCAACATTTCCGTTATATGTTGAATGAATGAATGAATGAACGTAAAGTAAAATTCTATGAAAGGGTAAATTTTTTGTTGAAGCTCTGTTTTTTATCTGCTAACGCATTTGTGTTTGTTTTGGTTGTTGTAATTTTTTTGTCAGAGTCGCACAAAGCTAAAAGAGTTGAGGGTCACCCTCCAACGTTTTCTCCATGTTCCACGAAGCGTATCTGCGGATCGCCGGCGTGAGCTTTTCACGAGGGTGAAAACGCGACGCACGTGTTTTGTACTATTTTCACAGCCAGCTCCCGAAGGGGAGCAACAAAAAAAACGGAAAAACACAAAATTGAAACGTGTCCATGTATAATAATTAGTGATTATCTGATGGTATCACTCTTTTGGTGGCGTGCAGATATAAACTATAATAAGTAACTTAAAACATATTCATCCTTCATCCCTAAACTAAAAATATTTGCCGCTGTTGTTCATTATATCACACATCACTGTCTGGAACATGGCACTTTTCATTTTTGGCGCAAGTAGTGAGTGCGCGCCGACAACAATCGAATCAAAAGTGGAAGCGTTGATTTATGCGCCAAATTAAAAATAAAACGCGCATAAAAAGAGTCAACGAGCACACACAAGAGCGTCATATATAACAACTCATAAATCCCGAACCGAATTGAACCGAAAGGTCTGAATGTCCATCTCGATGCGCACTCCACACTCAGTACTCGGCGAATACATAAAAAACGCAAACACACAACATGGAAACGAAATAAATTATCGCACAAAAGGACCCGTAATAAAATGTATAGTGCATAATAAATAAAATAAAAAATTACATAATGAAATCATCGCTCACGTCTGGTTGGCTAGTGTATATATATATACACACCAACATTCAGTGGTGAATGAATTTGATAAAAATATCCCGCACACCGCACCGTTTTATTTTCGCATCATGTGTGCGACAGCGCCGACGTTTTTTATCATCGTCAACTGGTACTCGCGGCGCGTCGCATGCAAGAGTAATTTTTATAATTATTATATCTATGAATGCCATGAATATAGTG